GCTGCTGCTGCTGCTGCTGCTGCTGTTACTTGTTGCATGCCCCCACTAAACTGACAATTGCCTGCAACACACACATTATGGGTTCGCCACTTTGGCATTTGATTTATGAAACTGGGTTACCGCTGCTTTCCTTTTTCTCGGTACGAATTATATGGGTTTTGCTTTAACATTTCGTCAATTTATTCACTATTATTTAAAGATCTTTATATATTACTCAATAGTACAGCAAGCACTAATCTTAAACATATGTACGTTTCTTTTTTTTACATTGCCTTCAATATATTGTTTTATTGTGCTGTACATAAAAAATTACAATTAAATCCAGGGTGTTTTACCACAAACTCATTTCGTAAATTTTGGTTTAGATCGAGTCTGTGCCTAATATGTACAAAGATTTTGAATTTCGTAGCGTACTTTTTGCTTTTGTTTTTTGGCATCAAAACAATAAATAAAGTATAGAAAGATTAAACATTTAAGTTAAGCGAAAGGGAGTTTGTTCGCAGAAAACTAGCTTAAATTAGAACGTGAAAATGAACTCAGCCATGTCGGCGGAGATTTTCCAGATTTGGTGTTAATATCTTGGACGAGTGGAAACTGTTTTAAAATAAAAACTCAAACAAACTAAATGAGTGACTTGGTCAACAGAGTTATACACAAAACAATTTAATAGAAAGGAATAGGAATAGATTGGTTATCGTCGATGCAGGATGTTGGATAGGGCGCGTATCTGATTCTGCAGCTCGGAGTCCATGCGGTACGCCTCCTCCTCGAAGACGAGACGCATCTCCTGCAGCGCTGGTAGCTTGTCCGCCTGCATGTTCAGCAGATCCTTAAAGAACTTTGTCCACACGTGCTTTTTGAGGTAACGCGGCAGCTTTTGTCGGATATCCCAGCTGGAGCCCTTCTTTTGCGGCTGCATATAGTCACCGAAGAGCATAACATGAACGGTCGCCGCGATGCAGAAGAGATCCGTTTCGTAGGACCAACTGCGTCCCTCCTGCATCTCGATACAGGTGAAGCCATCCGTTTGCACCACCTTTCGGAACTTAGTCTTCTCAGCGTCCGGGAACAGGGTCATATCGATAGCACAGCCGAAATCAATCAAACGCAGCGATGGCATCGGACTGTCGACATTGGGCACACGCATCAGCAGGAAGTTGTCCGGTTTGATGTCCGCATGGATGATGTGCTGGCGATGCAGGTGGTCTACGATGTTGCAGATCTGCGCTGAGAAGTGCATCACCAGCGATTCGTGCATTACTTTGGTGGTAGCCTGGCGGATCTTGTTGTTGATGTCTAGCAGCGAACCGAACGGGGAGAACTCGGTGGCTATTAGGCTAGCATTTGGGGCGATAATCGCCGTGGAAATGTCCATCAAGCCAGGCAACACCTCCGGCTCCTTGATGCGTTTCAGCACCTAAAATAAGGAAATTGTATTAGCACTGTATTCTTTATGGCATGCCAAGAACATTAGAATATATATTATATATTCATTTTCTCACCTGATCACATATGTAGATCTCCCAGGTGTTTGGGGGCTTCTGATACTTCAGCGCCACCACATTACCAGTTCGAGAATCAGTGGCTTTATAAACCGAACCATAGGATCCGCGACCCACCTCCTTGTCGATGCTGAAGGTCACGCCTTCCAGGACGTTCAGCGTGCGAGTGTTGGATATTTTTGGCAGTGGCGTTTGGACAACCTTGTAACTGGCGTGGGCATCGTGATCGCCCGGAAAGTCCAGCTTGGCGAGGAAAGCGCGGCACAGTTCGCTGTTGAACGGATCGATGGCCGCCTTGTCCATGTGGCGGGCAATCGTTTCAACGGCCTTCGATAGCCGACGCTCCTGAGCCTCCGTATCGTGCTGGGTGGCAAAGTACGAGTTCTCCTGAAACGTTGAGAAGTCGGCCAGTGTGGTGGTGCCATTATTGTTGTTGCTGGTGTTATTATTGTTGTTGTGCGTTTGTAGCGTCTTATTGACCGCATGGAGGATCTGCTGTTGCGATGTGTCGCGGAAGTTGAGTCTATCCACAGCCAAGGCCAGCGAGCTATTTGAGTTATCCAAACCTGTGGCACTAGAGAACGAAAAGTTGGCATTGTCGTTGAACGTGCCAGGTGCTCCGGCGACCACACTACTCGAGGCGGCAATGGCGACATCAGCCGCCGAGGATGCCGAGTTACTATTGCTGCAGAGATCCGGCTGGAACTTGTTGCGCTTGACTTTGGTGCGTGCCCTGCGATAGCCATTCGCCTCGCTCTTCGGCGTCGAGGTCTGGCCCAGCATGTAGGGATGAAAATGATGGTGGCTTCCGTTGCGTTGACGCTGGATGGGAATCGGAGAAGCAGGTGCCGGGTCCGGGGACGGATGATGGACTGCCTGCGGGTGCTGATGGATTATTTGATGCTGCTCCTGCTGCTGTTGTTGTTGCTGGTAAACATTCTCTATGGTATAGGCACTGTAGGTGCTGCTGGGCTCCTTCCTGAACTTTATCTTAATCGATCGGTTTTCCTGCTCGAAAGTGGTTTGCGCACTGAACTGCACGCCATTTGTATAGGGTCCGTTAGGCTCCTCCTCCTCTTCGTCGTCTTCCTCCTCTTCATCAGAATCATCATCCCCGTTATCTTCTCCAGCTTCCTCCTCCTCTTCACCCTCCTCGGCATCATTGTCCTCATCTTCCTCACCCGTATTCTCCTGACCACTGCTGGTGTTCTGCCCGTAAAGAGCTCCATCCACAGCAGTCATATAGTAGGATTTCTCAGATTCGTAGGAATCGTATCGAGTTTGCTGTTCTTGTTCTGCCGGCTGCGATGGCTTGGCTTTTTGCTCCATTAACTGCTTAAACTTGCGGGCTAGTATCTCTTCGGGGCTGTACTCAATGCCTGCTCCCGGTGGATAAACCAACTGCTTGGCATAGTGGCACACACGCGAGGGATCATCAGGCTCTTCGAGCGTCAAAGCCGGCTTCCAGGTCTCATGGTTGTTGCGGCCGTATGCGTGAAAATTGCGTGGTAAGCGCAGGCCAGCCACTTCATTTGTCACCGGAGGACTTTGTTGAGGAGGTGGATTGCCGTTGCCGTTTTGCTGCTGCTGTGGCTGTTGTGCATGCTGCGGTGCTGCACTTTGTTGTGGCGGCAACTGTGGCTGTTGCGCTGGTGCATAATGAGGCTAAAAAGCAAAAGGAGTATTTATCAAGTAGCTTAGAAATAACATTTTATTGCCCACCTCTGCCACAGGAGCATACTGCGGTTGTTGCTGGACATGCACTGGTGGTATTGCTGCTGGGGACTGAGTTGCAGGATGTGCTTCATAGCGCGGCTGCTCCTGGTAGTGTGCCTGATAGCCCTGTTGTTCCTGCGGTATATGCTGCTGTGGCGCCGGGTGATGAGGCTGTGCGGCTGGATGTGCCTGCGCCTGCGGATGATATTGCTGATAGACATTCTGCTGATATGACTGAGGACGGTGTTGTGTATAGCTCTGCGGCATCTGCTGCTGTGCATAGTTCGTGAGTTGTTGCAGTGCATCCTGCGGGGGATGTTGCTGCTGCTGTTGCTGATGCTGCTGTTGTTGCCGCTGGTGGAAAAGAGACCTGGCATAGGCGAACTTGGTGTGGGCGTGCTGCAGCTCCGAGCTGCTCTGCGCCTTCTCCTGGAAGGCCAAGTTGAACACCGCCTCCGCATCCTTGAACTCCTCACGTGACTCGTAGTAGGCAGCCCATCCAATGTAGAAGGCGGCCACCTGGCGACCAGTTCCCCGCTGAAAGAGCACCTGGTAGAAGTGTAGTGGATCCGTCTGCATGGCTATGTACTTCAGCCACAGCCGCACCAAACGGACATCCTGGCGATAGTAGTCGTTGTGCTCATAAACCGTCAGACAGCGCTCCAGAGTTTCGCGGTACTTCACTTCCGGATCACTGTGCGCGTGATTCTCGTACCAGCAAATGTAGTTGTACCAATGATCGAGTGGATCCGGACCCTGGTAAAGGGAGATGGCGTGCTCCCAGGCCTGCTTGTCCTTCAGGAACCCATGCATCTCGTCCGGACTGGCCAGGGGCGGTGCTCCAGTTGCGACTGCTCCTGCTCCTGCTCCTCCACCTGATCCTGATCCCTGGCGCATGTACGAGTGCATGGCCATCTTAGCCGGACGGGGAACCCCCTGATCCTGCCGTGCGATGTTTGCCGTAACACAAACAAATGGATGCGAGACAGTGGTTTCTTGGGGTCACCACTTGGAAGTCTCTGTTTTCGGAGTGTAGTGCCTCCTGCCGATTGGCCTGGATTGGCTGCACCAATTCGGTTAATCCCTCGATGTCGTGGGTTGGCACTGGTGGCACATCCACATGATTTTTGGTTGGATTTTTCAATCGTTTGCAATGCTCAAAGATATTTTGTATTTTTTCCTCCTTTTCAGCTTGCAAATGGAATTTATTAGTGCTGCAAAACAATCGATAAAAATATTTGCTGTCACTGTTGACGATGCCTAGACATAGAGCTATCGATAGTGCGATAGAAACGTGTTGTTGGGAATTTTTAACCAAAACCCATTTTTTTATCGCTTGACTTCCTAATTAGTTGCTTCACAAAACTGAAATGTTGTAATAAAAATACAGCTTGTTCTGTTTATATAAAGGTGTGTGTGTGTCTCGTGCACTGCTTGATTCGATACATATGTAAGCAGTTCATTGCAGTACTTTACAGCACTTAAAAATCAAATTTTAAAAATAATTTTTAGAATAACCTTCACATTTTATTATATTATGATCTACTAACAATTCCATAAACATTTTATAAATTAATTGTGTTGTATGGAAACCAAAATGTTTATTTCGGATGATTTGAATTTTCGTAACGTTCTCTACTTTCTTGGGGGTCTGAACTGACGTTTTTAAGGCAATGATCGGGAAGAATTGAATGGCAATTCGTTCTCTCTTGGATACAGCTTGTTATTATCGTTGTAATCATATAAATTGAAAATTTACGAGATAGTTGTGTAGCGATAGAAACGATAGTTTGCGATAGTGCCACCTCCGTCGCAAGTTCGCTTACTGGCCACCAGAGCGCGCCACGGTGCTCGGTATTACTGCATTATTGTTTTTTATCAACTCGCTAGAAATTACGCTATTCCCAAAAAACCGCAAACCCGCGAGTGTTTATGTTGCGTTCCGAAGTGCATATCATAGATTAGTAGTATTAGTTACCCCGCAATCGGCCTGCTATCCAAAAAACACGCGTGATTCCCCTGCCACCCACGCACATAGACCCCGATATTTCTCTTTTTCTTGTTTTCGACCCCTGACTGCGTTTGTGGATTTTCCCCCAGAAAAAAATAAGGCGCAGAGAAAACGCAATTCAGCAGCAGATCGATTAGAACGGCAGCAAACTGAATCCCCCGGGATACGGATAATGGAGGTTTCCGCCGATCCGTACGAGCAGAAGCTCTACCAAATGTTCCGCAGCTGCGAGACGCAGTGCGGACTTCTGGACGAGAAGTCCCTGCTGAAACTCTGCTCCCTGCTGGAGCTGCGGGATCAAGGATCCGCACTGATCGCCAGCCTGGGCGGCAGCCACCAGCTGGGCGTGTCCTTTGGCCAGTTCAAGGAGGCGCTTCTCAACTTCCTGGGCTCCGAATTCGATGGCACGACGTCATCGGGTTTTATTGGTGAGATAGCACTAAGAATCGAGCAAGCTATAGATTAGCTTACATAGTATAAATATCATATTTGCTATAAACTAACGCGACAGGTTCTCATAAAACAACATACTGTTTATCTGTAATTGCGCTCTAATTACCTATCAAGCAACATCAGATAATCACGGAGGCTTTGCCAGGCACTTGAGATAGTGATTCAACTTTGACACGGACTCGGACCGAATGGGTTTCCCTATTAATAAAACTCTGATCTAATAGACATATTGCAAGCAGCCAATGGACGGATATACAAATTAATTGCTGCTTATTTTCCACATTTACTGTTTAACTGCCATAGTCTTAAAACCCTAAAAAAGAAAGCAGAATTTGGAACAATTTGCAAGGCATATACACATCTGCTTCAAACCCCTGCTTATCTGCTTGGGAAACTTCTAGGCAAATTTAGGACAAGTTAGGGTACGAATATCATAATCAGCACGCGGATTAACACGGCGGCAGCTGGCGGTCATAAAATCATAGATGCAATTGACAGTTTTTTACGACTCCCCCTGTTCTCGACTACCTGATCCGGCATGATCCTAATCAGGTAGCTGGTTACGATGTCCTGTATAAATACGCGACTCATTCAGATGGGCAGTTTAGTCTAAATCGAAATGGGAACGCGATTGTATTACCGCCAATCCAGCGGCCTGATAGCAGATCCAATCATTGAGAAGCTAGCCGCTCGCTTTGGTAGTCACCTAAGATCCATACAGATCTTTCAGTTCTCTACTAACCTATATCTATTGAATCTTGCAGAGCGTTCACTGGTGATTACGGATGAGCCGCTGACCAGCACATATATTGAGAGTCCGCCGGAGTCTTCCGACCGCGAAGTTTCACCCAAACTCGTTGTGGGCACCAAGAAATACGGTCGCCGGTCCAGGCCACAACAGGGTATCTATGAGTTATCCGTCACGGACTCGGACAATACGGATGAGGACCAGCTGCAGCAGGAGAAGCAGCGAAGTCTCAATGGCTGCGATGAGCTGGGAGTTCAGGTGAGCGTCGATTGGCAAGTCACGTACGAAGCGGCGATACAACTTCTGGTTATGTATGCAAAAGTGCATAGTATACAGATTTTGTTTAATCGTTAATTATTGCTGGTACAGTGGAGCCCCACTAGGTACCGAAATACTTTATGAAATTAAATAAGTTTGTTATAGTTGAGCACCAATAAGCATCTAATTTTCACTAACCACAGGTGCAACGTTCCTCGTCCCAAAGCGATCTTCCTGGCAGCCGGCGCCTGCGGTCCGTCCACACCAGTGGTAGTAAACTGAAGCGGTGTGCTTCACTGCCAGCACGCCGGAAGATAAACAGCAACAGCACGGGAGCAGCTACATCGCCGACGGCAGCAGCCAAGTTGAAACATCTGTCCATCCAGAGTCAGGCGCAGCACAGCAGCAGCGTGGAATCCCTGGGTAAGTTACCACTGGCCAGCAACCAACCCGAACTATCCCAGATTAGCCGATCCCCTTGTCCCTGCCACCCTCTGTTGTTGTTAGCCCAAAATGCGAAAATTACGTTTGAAGCAATGATAAAAGTAAAACACTTGTCGGTACACAACGTAGGCCATCACCTGGCCGCCAATCCCGCACCGTCGTCCGAGCACTGGAGATGCTACCACGGCGGCCGTTGGTCATGCTGCAAAGGTTTGTGCGCTCTGAAGCAATTGTCAACACCCCCACATCCACCGAAACCCCAACCTAGTCATTCGGTTTCTAATCGCACCCTATGTAGCCGCACCATTGTTTCATTCTATTTACTCGTATAACACCATATCCTACATTTTCAACCCCTAGTAAAGTTGTGAATTCCTGACTATTTGTTAGTTTAATTCAAGATTTTATATAAATTAATTTCGTTTAGGAAGGAATTTGTTCCATTATCTTGGTTTATTAATTGCTACCTCTTAAAATATCACACCAAACCAGTACTAGATTTTCCCATTTCGAAAAGCCATTTGATACAGCGAAACAGTAAACTTTCGGCGCTTTCGCTTACACCATCGATACACACACACACCCTTCCCCACTCCCAATCCCACACCCACCTGGTATCTTGGGCTATATGTATAATAAATGTGTATATACAACGGCGAACCTAATCTCATTCGTCCCACGCTAATTGTTAATTGCCATGATTTACAGACACCGTGACGCCTCAGCAGCTGGAGACGATCTCAGTGCATAGCATTATTGAAGCCTGGGAGCTGGCCAGCATTCCCAACACTCGCAACCTACTTCACGTCCTGGGCTTCGATGAGGAGGAGGAGGTGAACCTGCAACAGCTAACCAAGGCGTTGGAGGAGGAGATGCGTGGCCTGGACGGCGATCACGAGCAATCGAATATGCTGCGCGCTCTGGCTGCTCTGCAGGCCGCAGAATTGGGCAACTACCGAGTTGCCTATAGGCAGCAGCACGAGGAGAACCTCAAGCTGAGGGCCGATAACAAGGCGGCCAACCAAAGGGTGGCTTTGCTGGCCGTGGAAGTGGATGAGCGGCATGCCTCACTGGAGGATAGCTCCAAGAAGCAGGTGCAGCAGCTGGAGCAGCGACATGCCAGTATGGTGAGGGAACTAACGCTGCGGATGAGCAATGACCGCGATCACTGGACCAGCATGACGGGAAAGCTAGAGGCGCAGCTTAAATCGCTAGAGCAGGAGGAGATCCGCCTCAGAACGGAACTGGAACTGGTGCGCACGGAGAACTTGGAGCTTGAGTCGGAGCAGCAGAAGGCTCACATCCAACTTACAGAGCTTCTCGAACAGAACATTAAGCTCAATCAGGAACTGGCCCACAGGCCGAGCAGCATTAGTGGCACTCCGGAGCACAGTCCAATGCGACCAGGAAGGCATAGCGAGGACAAGGAGGAGGAGATGCTCCAGCTAATGGAGAAGCTGGCTGCTCTTCAAATGGAGAACGCCCAGCTGCGTGATAAGACTGACGAACTGACCATCGAAATCGAGAGCTTAAATGTTGAACTAATTCGATCGAAAACCAAGGGCAAAAAGCAAGAAAAACAGGAGAAACAAGAGGACCAGGAGTCGGCGGCGACGGCCACCAAAAGGCGCGGAGATTCGCCAAGCAAAACACACCTCACAGAGGAGAGCCCTCGTCTAGGAAAGCAGCGCAAGTGCACCGAAGGAGAGCAGAGTGATGCCAGCAACAGCGGAGATTGGTTGGCTCTAAACTCTGAGCTCCAAAGAAGTCAAAGCCAAGATGAGGAGCTAACAAGCCTCAGACAGCGGGTGGCTGAGTTGGAGAAGGAACTCAAGGCTGCAAGGGAGGGCAGATCTCTCACTCCGGAAAGCCGCTCCAAGGAACTGGAGGCCAGTCTCGAGCAAATGCAGCGCGCCTATGAGGAATGCGAGGACTACTGGCAAACGAAACTCAGCGAAGAGCGGCAGCTGTTCGAGAAGGAGCGACAGATCTACGAGGATGAGCAGCACGAGAGCGACAAGAAGTTCACCGAGCTGATGGAGAAGGTGCGCGAGTACGAAGAGCAGTTCAGCAAGGATGGCCGATTGTCGCCCATTGATGAGCGGGATATGCTGGAGCAGCAGTACTCGGAATTGGAGGCCGAGGCAGCCCAACTGCGCTCGAGCTCCATTGAAATGCTCGAGGAGAAGGCTCACGAAATTAGTTCTCTGCAATCGGAGATAGAGGATTTGCGACAGCGATTGGGTGAGAGCGTCGAGATCCTCACGGGCGCCTGTGAACTCACATCGGAATCGGTAGCCCAACTGAGTGCCGAGGCGGGAAAAAGTCCAGCCAGCTCACCCATCAGCTACCTCTGGCTGCAGAGCACCATCCAGGAGCCGGCGAAATCCCTAGCTGACTCCAAGGAGGAAGCCACCGCCAGTGCCATCGAACTGCTCGGAGGCTCACCATCGCACAAGACAGCCAGCCGGTGAGTATGAGAAGCATCTCTGTGTGTCCTTGGTGTGAGCATCCCTGTGTCTTCCTCATAACTTGCACTGTTTTGTCCTGTATATTTGTTTTAGTTTGTCTCCTCACATCTAACCATGTCTAATATAAGTTAATTTAATATTTTTAAGTGTATGTTTGTGCTTGTCTAATAAATATAATTTATATTCACAAAGAAATTCACCTCATTTTCGAAATTTATTGATATATGATTTCAAAAAAGACCGCCTTCATTTTATATTATATAAAAGAAATTGCACCTTTTCGATGAAATGAATTGAAATTGGCTGCTGGAACAGTTTTTGTTTGGTATTTGGCTAATTTTCCCATTTATATCATTCCACGTTTTCATTTTGCATCTAAATATTAGTTTAACAATTCGTTCAAAGGCGTTTTCATTTTTTAAATCACTCCTATATAATGGCTCCTTAAACAGCAATAACCTCACCACTTCGGAAACATCCATCTTCAGCACAACACCCTTCGAAAGCTCTCAGTCCGGTCCTTCGCCTACGAATAGTGGCACTACCAATGCCTCCGGCGCTAATGCCGCTCCAGCTCCGATCAGCAAACCCAAGAGGGCCCAGAGTCCCCAAATTGCTCCATCGGAGGGAGAGATAGCCGATTGTGAGACGTCGTCGACGGCGTCCAACAAGAGCTTCGAATCCAACAGTAAAACGTCTTGCCTTAGCCACGAAAAGTGCAGCAGTCCGTCGGCACTGAAGGAGGAACTGAAGCGCCTTAAGTTCTTCGAGCTGTCGCTCAAGGAGCAGATCAAGGATTTGAGCCTGCAGCGGGACGGTCTGGTCATGGAACTGCAGCAGTTGCAGGAGGCGCGACCCGTTCTCGAGAAGGCATATGCGGTGAGCAGTGGATTTTGTTTATCGAGGCATATTTATTAATCCAATTTGGTTACCCATCATTAGCGAACCACGCATCCAACGCTTCAGCAGCGACTGAACCAATTGGAGCTGCGAAATCGCCATCTGCAGAATGTCATCAAGCAGCAGCAGCAATACACCGAGTCCCTGATGCAGCGTAAGTTGAAGAAACGTCATGCTGACCAAGGACATTTCCTAATGTATATGTCTTCACTAGAATCCTGGCGGCAGCATCAAGTGGAGCTCAACGATCTGCACAGCCGAATCGAAACACAGGGTGTTTTGCTGGCGGATCAGACACAGCGACTGCAGAGTGCCGACATCCTGGTGAAGGACCTCTATGTGGAGAACTCCCATCTGACGGCCACAGTGCAGCGGTTGGAGCAGCAGCGAGCTAGGGTGAACCTGATTCATCAGCAGCAGCAGCAACAGCGACTTGTGGGCGGCGGACTGCCCGGCATGCCTTAGTTTGCCCCACCGGCAAACGGATATAGCTTATAGTTAAATATGAAAAAGACAACCTGAGGATAGGTGCTCAGCATCAGCAGACATCGAACATGCACCTACCCATAGATCGTTATGAATGTTTAATCATATACAACACTCGGTAGATTAAGTTTGCATACTCGTCGTATTCGTACGTTGCGTTTTTGTGAATGAATGTGAATCCATGTTGTTCGACACGAGAGCACCGCAGCAATAACTACAGTGACTATAATCTAAACTTAAACTCACCCACGCGCAAATGAGGAACAATCCACACTAGTGTACCAATTTGTAACACATCTAGTAATCGACTAACTAATACGAATGGATAAACTATTTACACGAGCTAAAGGCATACATTCGATTGGACATTTACGAAGAAGTATCCACGTAATATATGTTCGTGCATGTCTCACTGCAATGTTGATCTTACTAATTGACTACTGAAACAGTTATCGTATATTAATTATATTAGAAGAAACAGTATTTTAAATTTGTTATGCGTCTGAGTAGGCGAGCACGTTTATCAATGTTTATCACGTGCCCAATCAAATGCATCGGAATTGTTGTTAAATTTATTGATAGAGAAAATGAAAATGAGCGTAAAAGATGATCTATGATATTGATGTAATATGTAACGACAAAAGACCTGTAAAGCTGTAACCATACACACGAATCTATGTATTTAAATTGCGATTTAAGTTAGCCAATACTCTTCAATATTGCTTTTGCGAACGCGATCTTTTGTTAAACGTTTATTCGTCCCCATAACTCACTCGACTTATATGTAAAGAAAAAAACCTCAACTTAGTTTATCAATCACACGATTTTGTGTAATCAGTGCTTAAATCAATACTTTCGATCAAAATAGAAGTTTACTTTTTAAAAGTATAAAAAAATAATACAAAAAAAAAAACCAAATATACAATTATTTATAAAACCAACTTGTGATAAATTGTTTTTATTATTAATAATATTTTAAAATATGGGGGCATATAAATATATTGATTAATAATGTTTTTGTATTGTATGTAATCCTATCTTATTAAATTTCAAAGACTTATAACGTGTTTAACCATTTTAAATCTAGTCTTAAGTTGTGGTCATAAAATTAAAACAGCAAGAACTTCGTTTATTGCTTACAAATGTACGTTACAATTTTATTAAGAAGTTAAATTTCGATATAATAGCTTGTCAAATATCTCCCAACGGAATCCCGACTGGCTCCGCTTTTTTGCTCTTTATTCAATGCTTTATAAAAAGTGTTACAGTGATCGGATTTAGTTCAAATATGCGCCGTTTTGTTCGATAATCTGTTTCCATCTAGACGGCAACTTCATAATACCTTCCTTGTAGAAGCCCCTCTTCTTATTTGCGAAGAAATCGGACAGCCACTTTTCACAAGCCTCTTCTGAGTTCAACTTTACAACACCAAGGGCATTCGCCATGGACAGGAACAGGTGGTAATCACTTGGCGCTATGTCCGGGCTATATGGTGGATGCGATAAAACCTCCCATCCGAGCTCCCGTAGCTTCTGACGAGTCATCAACGAAGTGTGTGGTCTGGCGTTGTCCTGGTAGAACACTACACCCTTCCTGTTGTCCAATTCTGGACGCTTCTGGTCGATCGCCTGCTTCAAGCGGTCCAGTTGTTCGCCGTAGATGGTAGAATTAAGCGTCTGGCCATATGGGAGCAGCTCATAGTGGATGATTCCCTTCCAATCCCACCAAACACACAGCAAAACCTTCCTGACCGGCAATACCGGCTTGGCCACTGTTTGGGACGATTCACCGGCCTCCGACGACGACCGTTTTCGCTTGATATTGTCGTATGTGATCCATTTTTCGTCGCCAGTCACCATCCGCTTCAAGAATGGGTCGAGTTCGTTCCGTTTCAGCAGCATATCGCAGGCGTTGATTCGGTCCAGAAGGTTTTTTTGTGTCAGATCATGCGGCACCCAACCATCAAGCTTTTTTTTGTATCCAGCCTTGTGCAGATGGTTTAAAATGGTTTGGTGACTAACTCCCATCTCCTGGGCGATGTCACGAGATGCCACATGCCGGTCTAACTCGATGTATTCCATGATTTGATCGGTATTTGTCGTCACAGGTCTTCCGCCGGCTGGCTTATCCATGGTGTCGTTTTCACCGGCTCTGAATCGTCGAAACCATTCCTCCGCGGTTCGAAGTGATAGAGTACCATCCCCCAAAACACAATTAATCTCACGGAACGTTTCTCTAGCGGATTTGCCTTTAACGAAGGAAAACTTTAAAATAGCGCGAATTTCGGCGTTAGTGAACTCCATGTCCACACGTCTATAACTGTTGATCGCAATATCCAAACTTATCATGCATAGCGTCGTTTTGTAGGTTATGTCAAGACCTTTCAAATTATGTATAGTATTGCCAGATACGGAAGGGAGATATTTGACAATATATGATATTTATATCCGTTATTAGTCTTTCTATATTTAATAGTTTAAGTAATCGATGTTCAAGAAGTTGACGCTATCGGAGTATCGATAATACGTCGATGTTTCTTCCAGCTCTATCGGGCACGCGCTGTTAAAGTTTATTTGTACTGTTAACGCGAATTGGGATAAAATGTTTTGTTTTTTGTTAGTTTTCGGTATAAATGTGGTTCTAGTGCATTTAACAACTGGTGAGTGTGCGTTGTAGTGAGTAAACATTAATGCAATTATACAGAATTCCTGGAAAGCTGCAAAATACAAGAGTTTTCAATGATGCGCGCGATTGTGTGTGTGTTTGATGCACTGCCAGTGCATGTGACTTTGTGTGTGTGTGCGGTTTGTTTTGTTATTCGATGCGCAGAATGGAAATATATAATTTAATTAGGCATTTTCTTGGCGAAACCATATTGTAATCAAGGCCTCTGAAGTCGACCCTCAAATCGAAGCAGGAAAAATCATTAATTACGTGCTCAAGACCATTAAGTATGTGGTGACAAATGTTAAGGACACCTTCCGCTGAATTGTTTAAACCATATAATATCGAAAATATTGCTTGTGTAAATAATTGGAATCCATGTGTGGCAGCTTTGTTTATATATGTACTTTTGTTTATGTCAAGTACTAAATCCTCTCAGCAACAGGCGTTACAGTGTAATTCTTATTGGATGTTCATATCTTTGCCAATTGGAAACGAGACTAGACTAAATAATTTCTGCAAGTGCATCTGATTTTGTATCGGTTCTATAAATAATTATAGACAATTACATTGTTTACGGTAGAAACATGTTTGATAACAGCGGTAGAACATTGCATTGCACTCCGTTAACAGAGAGGTTCTATGAAAACATTTATGTTTATAGTATTAAATTTTGTTTTTTTTCATATTCTATACTTATGTTGCATTGTTTATCCTCAGCGCGAGAAGCAGTTTTTGTTTAACTCAAGAGTTTTGGGATACTAATGAAACCTATTACAATATAAACACATTTTTCAATTTAGCACATACATATGTATGTATGCTTGTTTCTGAACTTATTTTACATATTTGTACCATTTCTACATATTTTTTACTTCAACCAATATTTCACATTTTATAGCCTACTTTTCGGCTGTCATGATGAAGTACATTCAATTATTTGTAGAACACCGAATATGAAGATTACTTACTTTACACAGTAAAACCATTTTGAATTTATTATTCACTACTTCGCTCTTGCTTCAAATTTCACTTTAATGTTCTGCTGAGTGCGCAGTACAATTCCGTTCTCTAAAGTGAGCTCCTCCAATCGAGTGGCGGGCAGTAGTTTGAAGTTCCTAATGACCGCTGCCAGGAGCACCTTCATCTCCAGGATGCCGAACTTCTGACCTATGCAATTCCTTGGGCCTGCACTGAAGGGCACAAATGCGAAGGGATGGCGATTCGCAGCGTTCTCTGGCAGAAAACGCTCAGGCAGGAACTGATTTGGTTTCGGGAAATGGCGTGGGTCTCTCATGATGTCGTATATGTGGATGCTAATCTGGGAATTCTTTGGTAGGACTAAACCATTCATCACACTTTCCTCCGTACATTTTCGGCCTATGATGGGAGCTGAGGGGAACATCCTCAGCGATTCCTTGATGACACTCTCTAAATGGATCAGTTCGTTGAACTGGAACATACTGATTTCGTCGATGTCTTCGGGAAGGTTTTGTATCTCTTCGTAGCACCGCTGTTGGACATCCTCATGCAGAGCCAACAAGAGCAGTGTAAATATTAGACTGGTTGATGTGGTATCGTATCCCCCGAACATAAAGGTATTGACCTCATCACAGATTCCTTGATGATCGATCTTGCCCTCCGCCTCAGCTGCCAAAAGGGTATCCAGCATGGCGTATCGCTGCTTCTTGCCAACTTCATCAACTTCTCCAAGTTGTTTCTGCTTGAATTGCTGCCTTTTCCGTTGGATGATACCGCTCGAGAAGCCGTGAATTGTACGCAGTATCTTGGAAAGCTTTTGATAATCTCCGAAAAGGAAGAAGTACCAATTGTAGTACATCAGCGGATTGCACATGCGCTCATTGTAAACTATTTCAAAGTCGTGGATGGCCTTTCTATACTCGTTTCCTTCCGACATGTCATCCAGTTTTACGCCCAGGGCCGTTTCTATAAAATAATTTGTAGTTAGTAATATAATAATATTTTATAACTAGATGATCAATCTTGCCGCAAATATTGTTTAGAGTAAACTGTGGAATAATCTGGTTAAGTTCAAGCTCGCAGCCCACGTTTTTGTCCACTATTTTGATAAACTTCTTGCTCTCCTCTCTGAAATAAAAGCAATGATAATTTCAATAGTTAATAGTTCCACTATCACTCACTTAAAAATAGAGAGAAAAGACTGCAGAATATTAAAATGAAAAGCAGGGGTCAAAGTTTTTCTTCTTGAGTGCCATTTTCGATCTAAAAGATATGGAATTATTATATATTTATGATTATATACGTATATTCACCTGTGCTTATCAGCAGCCCGTCTCCCAAAAATGGCCTTATCAATTCATAAGCCATATTCTTGGTAGTAATTTTGGTGCTCTGAAATATTTCTTCAGCGTCTTCGGCACGAACTATATTATATTCTGGAGCAAACAAGAAGTACCATAGATAATTTTGTCCATTGGCTTTGGCAGTGCACTCTCGTATATAGTTGAAAATAGTAGCTGTAATAAATATCAATAATTATATGTACAGTTATAACACTTAATTTCAATCCATACCTGGCGTTAAATTTAGTAAATCCAAATTGTTGCCAAATCGCGTTTTTCCGGGAATTACGAACACTTTTCTGCCCAATGGGCTGCCATCCGCTGTTCGCACTCGTTTACATAATGACAGAATAAAGTAAGTTTTATTAAGTTGTCTCAGCATGAGCCAAAGGGCACCAATCAAAAGTGAAGACCCAAGTAGAGCGATCCACATTTTGTAGGCTTTGGTGAACCGTACTACTGCGAACTTCAAAACCCACTGAGTTAAGGCATACCCAGCGAAATGAGAAGGCCAATGAAAAAGCTCTTTGTTATCGGAATATTTAATTTCATGGTTAATTTCTAGTAATTGTGTTTTGACGTTCTGTTATAATAAAATTTTATAGTTCAAACTGCTGGGCTCCACGGAATGTACAAAAGTAGAACTGCTGTATAGTCTAGGTTCTATAGGTTCACTTATTTTCCCGATGCACCAGTTTAACCTTAACATTTTGCTTTGTACGCAGCACAATTCCATTTTCAAAAGTAAGGTCGTCGAGAAGAGTAACAGGTAATATCTTAAAGTTCCTGATGACCGCTGCCAGAAGAACTTTTATCTCTAGGATTGCGAACTTTTGACCAATGCAATTCCGTTGTCCTGCACTAAACGGCACAAAAGCGAAGGGATGGCGATTCACGGTGTTCTCCGAAAGGAATCGATCCGGTTGAAACATTTTTGGGTTCGCAAAATGCCGGGGATCCCTCATGATTTCATAGATGTGAATGTTGATTTGGGTATCCTTTGGCATGATTAATCCGTTGACCACACCCTCCTCCACGCACCGACGTCCAATGGTAGGCACCGAAGGAAACAGCCGGAGAGATTCCTTGATCACGCACTCCATATAGACCAGTTCATTAAACTGGAACACACTGATATCATCGCTATCCTCGGGAAGGTATTTGATCTCCTCGTAGCAACGATGTTGAACATCCTCGTGGAGAGCCAGCATGAGCAGGGTGAATATTAGACACGTGGAGGTGGTATCGTATCCCTCGAACATGAAGGTATTGACTTCATCGCAGATACCCTGGTGATCGATCTGACCCTCTGCTTCGGCTGCTAACAGGGTATCTAGCATGGCGTATCGCTGCCTCTTACCAAATTCATCCTTTTGTCCGAGATCTTTGCTCTTGAAAAGACTCCTCCTTTTCTCTATGATGTTACTGGAGAACTCGTGGGCTATTTTCAAATTATTCACCTGCTTGCGATAGTCACCGAATAGATAGAAATACACAATGTTATAGAAAAACGGGTTGCATAAGCGCTGCTGCATCACTTCTTCAATGGCGTGAATCGACTTGCGATATCGAATACCCTCCGTCATGTCATCTAGTTTTACTCCCAGTGCGGTTTCTGCAATTATATTATTCACATAAAAATTCTCTGCATTCTTGAATAAACCGCCAGTGAAAATTGCAGCTATATATATAATTGATAAGTCCTAACGTTGCGCATTTAGTTCATTGATAATGATATAGAGAGTAATTTCTTTATTTGCTGGTCATCATGAGCTATACAATCGCGTGAATATATAATCCGGCGATATCAATTAATGGGTGTATTTGGACTTACCGCAAACATTGTTTAACGTGAACTGAGGAATAACCTGATTCAGCTCCAACTCCTTATCCACACCTTGATGCAGGACTTTCACAAGCTTATTGCACTCTTCCCTGAAAGGCGATTGTGCTTGCAACTTAACCAACATTTATTATTGTGTAGACTCACTTGAATATGGTCAGAAAAGACTGCAATACATTGAAATGGAAAGCGGGAGTCAGGGCTTTTCTTCTAGAGTGCCATTTCTGATCTACATTGGGTTAGGAATCCTTAAAAAAACGTTGTAAGATTAAACACTTAACATACCTGTGCTAGTCAGCAGTCCTTCGCCTAAAAAGGGTTTCAAAAGATCGTAGATCATATTTTTGGTGATTAGCTTGGGACTTTGGAATATTTCCTCGGCTTCCTCGGCACGAACTACATTGTACATGGGTGCACGGAAAAAGTACCAGAGATAGTTTCGACCTTTCGCCTGGACCGAGGCATCTCTCACGAAGTTAAAAATGCTTTCTGAAAAATATTTCAAACGGCGTAAATATGGTTTTAGTGTTGATTTGGTCTTACTTACCAGATGTAAAGTTCACGAGGTCAAAGTTGTTTCCAAATCGGGTTTTGGTTGGCGTTACGTAAATTTTGCTTTCCAACAAACTACCGTCTTCTGGGCGAATGCGTTTACACAGACTTAGAATGAAATAAGTCTTGTTCAAATGAGCCCACAGCTTGTAAAAGAGGAAAATCACAAGTGGAGCGGAAAACAGGACTTCAAAAATCATTGCTACGTTTTAATAATATTCCGGCTAGAGGTACCAGTACCTTTCAGATTAAGCTCTGATCTGTAAATGGCAGATGCTGATTAAAACTCAGTGATCGACTAATTGAGTTTTGTAAAATCAATACTTACTTTGTATAAAGCAAGTTCCCATGCGCCATGCAATTAATGGGTATACTGAATTGCTAATAGTGCCAATCCAACTAGTCTTGCATAACACATTTTTTGAAATTTATGATATTTATTGGATTTTTTTTTACGTAAGCTTTAATGAGAGTTCTAAACCGTTTCTTCGCCATAATAAAGTATAAAGTTGTCGGTAGTTTTACAATGCAGCTTTGAAGATTTATTGTAAAAAAATGTAAGTATCCTCTATATAAAAGACAGCCAGCAATTAATTTAAACGTTCGTGATTGTGGCGAACGAGCTAATTAAATTAATAACATGTTAGGATCTGCTTTATCCAATATATAAAATAATAGTACGTTTGGGTGTATTCGACAAGCGATCGTTCTTTTCAGAGTTGTAACAGTATTACCGGTTTCTTTGTCTCTATAACCGTATTACAAATAAAAGCTCTTTTCAAACAGTTTTCCCCTAAATAACACTAAGAAATATTCCTCACTTGACCCTTTTCGATAGCTTCACTTTGATATTCTGCTGCGTGCGCAGTACAATTCCGTTCTCAAAAGTAAGATCCTCCAACTGAGTGGCGGGCAGAAGCCTAAAGTTCCTGACCACAGCGGCCAGGAGCACCTTCATCTCCAGAATGGCAAACTTCTGGCCAATGCAATTCCGCTGGCCTGCACTAAAAGGCACAAAGGCAAAGGGATGGCGATTCACAGTGTTCTCTGCGAGAAAACGCTCGGGCTGGAAGAGATCTGGTTTCGGGAAATGACGCGGATCCCTCATGATGTCGTATATGTGGATGCTGATCTGTGTGTCCTTTGGCATCACCATTCCATTCACCACACACTCCTCCACACATTGGCGCCCAATAAATGGGACGGATGGAAACATCCTCAGCGATTCCTTGATCACGCACTCCAAGTAGACTAGCTCGTTGAACTGAAACACACTGATGTCGTCGCTGTCCTCGGGAAGACCTTCCACCTCCTCATAGCACTTCTTCTGCACATCCTCATGGAGGGCCAGCATCAGCAGGGTGAATATTAGGCACGTGGAGGTGGTATCGTATCCCTCGAACATGAAGGTATTGACCTCATCGCAGATACCCTGGTGATCGATCTGACCCTCTGCTTCGGCTGCTAACAGGGTATCCAGCATGGCGTATCGCTGCTTCCTGCCGAATTCATCCACTTCTCCAAGTTGCTTCTGCCGGAATTGCTGCCTTTTGCGTTCGATAATGCGACTTGAGAAGTCGTGAACTATCCGCAGGTTGTGCACATGCTTTCTGTAGTCGCCGTAAAGGAAGAAATACCAATTGTAGTACATAAGCGGATTGCACACGCGTTGAATTAGAACTTCCTCGATGGCATGGATGGCCTTTCTATACTCGTTGCCCTCCGACATGTCATCCAGTTTTACACCCAGAGCAGTTTCTGTAAAGGGTATGGTTTAGTTTAAATATGATCACGTCAGGCAGCTCACCGCATATATTATTCAAAGTGAATGGTGGAATAACGTGGTTAAGCTCCAGTTCAGCGTCTAAATGTGTCTCTAAAACGTCCAGAAACTTTTTGCACTCTTCCCTGAAATAAGCGTATACTTTGGCAATGCCAATAAGGAATGGTTAATTCAAACTTACTTGAAAACACCCAAGAAGGTCTGCAGGACATTGAAGTGGAAGGCCGGCGTTAAAGCCTTTCGTCTGGAGTGCCATTTGTGATCTTGAAATCAACGTATAATTAGTAAAGTTAATAATCCAATTAAAACTGGGTCACTCACCTGTGCTTATCAGCAGTCCGTCTCCCAGAAACGGTCTAATCAGTTCGTAAACCACATTCTTGGTTATCAGTTTGGTGCTCTGGAATATCTCTTCAGCTTCCTCGGGCCTAACCACATTATACATGGGTGCATATAGAAAATGCCACAGATAGTTCTGACCCTTGGCCTTGGCGGTGGACTCTCGCACAAAATTAAAAACACTGGCTGCAATAAAACAGTAAAAAGTAGTTATAAACCTTATGAGTACATTACGAACACGGCGTAAAGTTGAGAATATCCAAGTTATTGCCAAATCGCGTTTTTCCCGGTATTATGGCCACTTTGCTCTCCAACGGACTGCCATCCTCGGTTCGCACTCGTTTCGATAATGAAAGTATAAAGTAGGTTTTGTTAATTTGTTTTAGAAGAAGCGCCAGGACCGCCAACAAAATCGGGGTCCCCAGCAGGGCGATCCACATGTCGTCGCAAAATTCTCCGGTCGATCCGTTCTAGAGGCAATTTCACTACCCACTGAGCTTTGTCATATCATCAAGCCTCAATAATCATAATCAATTGTATGTAGTATACTAGTACTGTTTAAAACAATAACAATGTCAAAACAGCTTTCTGTTATCAGTGAATTATACGGTTGGATTCTCGCAACTATAGTTACTGTGCTCAGCCAGATTAGTTTGATACTTATACTGGAATTTGCTATAATGTATAGTTATGACTGTATTGTGCATCATCCCCACATTTTAAGCTTGATCTAACAGAGTTGGATGGTCGGTGTTAAATGGTTATCTTAATCTGCAAGGTTGTGGTATTACTCGCGATTATAAATGCGTCAAGGGTCAGTTACGATCGTTAAATGGTCGTTACTAAAGCACTTAGTTGTGTCAACAAAAACAGTCTTAAATAAAATAATTGCTTAACTCATTCAAAAGTGAAACCCTCATTTGTTTATTACAATACAGCACGTAAACCTCTTAGACTGTCAGAATTGAAACTAATTGCTGGCTAATGCATGTAAGCTATAATGTCATGCTATCGAATTCAAAGCGTTATGGTTTTACTTTTGTTGGCCTCAATAATAATTAGTGCCTATAAGTATACACAGGAAATGTTTAAACAATGAGATCAAAATGCAGTTTGAATTTGTTTAGCTGCTGATAAAGTATACTCATTAAATTCAAACCTTCATGAGCTGCTAAAAATGAATGGTATTATCCACCAACCTGCTGCCTCCTATCAAGAGGCATACTAATTAATTGAAGCACTTGGCAGATATTGAAATTGTTAGAGGAGCATTTGAAATAGTTGAAACTGGCTTACGATCGTTTCAAATCCCCCCTATGACCATTCCAGATTAATAACAATTTCTTGGCAAATTTCCTCCCAGGCCGAGCGGCATATTTTCCCATCGTTCCAACTATGGAAGTGGCTGCAGAAAAAAAAGGAAATAGGCAATGTCGCATCAAAATGCCGCATTGATTAAAGTTTGATCAGCTGCAGCTTGGCCAGATCGCATTTGGGCTTGAGGAATTAATTTGAGCCAAGTTTGCAATGCGCGCGCAGAAATGGCAATGCCACAGTTGCAGTTGCAACCTGACCAAGTGCAGCCTCGGCTGCAATAGAAGTAAATGTGGAAAAAAATTAAATCACAGTAATTACATTTTCTGTGGAAATGGCAGGAGCCGGAGATGAACGCGCAAACATGCTGCACGACCAGTGCGTGGACCTGGATGACAAAAATAGTCAATGCAGCAGCAGCAACTACTGCCACAGTCGCAGCAGCAATCACAAACTGCATTTGGGCATGAAAAGTGCTGTGCCGGCACAATTGGACGGAAAAACTGGCCCTGTCTCTCCGTTTCTTGTTGTTATGAACAAATGTTATTGCGGCGGCAACATGCTGCATGTGTTGCTGCTGCCACAGGAGCAACATCAACTGTTGCTGCTCATTAAGATGCAAGAGACGTTGCTTGCCGCCTTTTTAGAATTACTAATTGAATCGACGCGATCAGTGGCAATTGCAGCGGCGGCATTGGCCACAAAAACCAAAACCAAAACCAACAATGAGCAACAACCATTGCGGTGGCGGCTTGAATGTTTGTTTGCTTGTTTGTTGTTACAACCGCTGCTGCGTTGAATGCTGCTGCCGCTACTGTTGCAGCTTCCGCTGCGGCGTGAGTACACAAACATACGGCCATACGCCTGCGTATTTATTTATTTACGTACGTGATTCGCGGCGTGGCTGGCGATTCTCTAAGGGCAATTCCCGAAGCAAAATTCTGAGCCAAAGCAGAGTTATCCCTTTAGGGGCGTTGCACATCCGCAAGCCGCTTGAGGCAATCGCTAAGATAACAAATTCCGAGTTACTTGCGAGCTGAGAACCCTCAGGCACCTGCACCAAAGTTGCTTATAAGGCACTGGCAATATCATTAAAAGTAAACAGGCGCTTTATTACTTTGTATATGCTAAGGCTAACGGCCTTATTTGTCTTACTTTTTGAGAAATAAAAACCACACCTTTCAGCCGCATTCTTCCGGCCTTAGTACACCACATTTTGCACCATTTTCCAGCCTCTTTTTAGCCAATATATTCATGTTTTTAGCGCTGACCTTACTCGCTGCATTTCTGGCTAAGCACAAAGTCATGTAGCAACATGTTGCGCGGTCGCGGCAACATTTGCTGTGCGGCAACATGATTTTTCAATTATGGCACCAGCATGTAAAATTTGTTGTAAGCGCTTGCATATTTACTTTAACACCTCGTCCTTCGTGTGTATGTATCTTTTTTCCGTGATATTTCCTTTTTTTGTTTGGCGTGTATGGGCTGACAGCGAACGATGCCGGCGACGAACAGGCGACGCTTGTTAGCCATGTTGCACGGCCTGACACTTGTTGCACGGCATTCTGCCCCAGCAACCTTTTGCGGTCGCAGTGCCCCAAAGATCTCAGCTTGCCGATGCTGCTCTTGCGGTCGATGTACAATGGGTCAAAAGGCTCACGTTTTGCAACCAAATCTTAGATTCCTCTGCTTTGAAATTACTTTTTAACAGATCAATAATTAGGTCTTCAAAATATCCACTTTATGCTATGATCTTTGCCTTCTGTTTTTAGATCCCCAGAGTACGGACATATTTTGTGTAAAAGTGACTCCAAAATGTGGTTTGAACCACTGTGCAGTGTTGTTCTCGGGTTGCTTTTGGTGTGGATGTTGCTGCTGTGTATTTTGGCGTTGTCGTTGGCGTGTGTCTCTCGCTCCACTAAACTTTTAATTAAAATTTGGTCGTATCACAGTGGCTGCTGCTTCCTTTTTTGTGGCTTGTTAATGTCACCTGGAGGAGGCGGGGAATCCGGGCAATATACTCCACTGATTTTTATGCAAATTTGCCAGTCTCGTTTTTCGGTCACCGTGCAACTTGAGGGGTTTCCAGACGACGAGGGCTCGCTTTTGGGATCGCAACGGATCGGATCGGGTTCCCATGCCGAGCTGCGTTCGTCATTAAGTTGTCATGACCATAATCATCTTTTGCGACGGCCATAGACCAACTTTGGTGTCCACTTCTTATATAGTATGTCCCTGTAAAAACTGAACAGTCGATCAATAAGGCGATTGGCATTTCCCCTTCGATTAAAAAAATGATAATTTTAAATGGATATTCTGTTGAAAATTGCCTGCGAGATGAATGCATTCACTTGATTTCGTTTACTCCCCTACGATCTCTTGAAAATAATTTGTTTTTGGATTATCAAAAACCATTTTACAATTGTGTTTCCTTACCGCCATGAAAGTATAGTCAGTCGAATAGAAAATTGGACAAGTTCCAGCTTTGGTTTCCATTTCGGCGTGGGACAGGTGCATTAAGATATATTGACTCCCGTTTGGATGTTGCATGATCCGGTGTGGCAATTGGCCAAGATTTATTGACATAATGAAGACTAATTCGCGCGTCTGTGGCCGAGCATTTTGACAATTATTTATGTTGTATTAAGTTGTTTGGCGGCAGCGCGTGTAACGATGTAATTAATTGCCATGGATTAGACACCGCCGATGGCCGATGGCCAATGGCTGAAAAGACCTGGTCACGCAGACCAGGCCAAGATGCGGAGGCACCAAACCGGGGCACGATCGGCGGAGTTACTCAGCCAGGAAAGCCAAAGCTGCTTAGGCCCATAAACAACCAAGTTTATGCGCCGACCATCTGCGACGATCCGAATTGAAAGCGGAATGGTATCGAAGCACTTCAATTGGTGGTCATTCGACTTTGATGCGATTTTAAAGCGATTTAAATATGAATATCAAAAATATTTGCGTGATCAATTTATACACTTCATAGCGCGCAGATAGTGTGCGCTTTTTATTGGAGATGGCTAGACATCTGTAGGTACTAAAATTTATAGTACAACTAATATAGTACAACTATTGCACACATATCAAAGAGCAAAATCTATAAAAGCTACTATTTCTGATAAGAAATCAATTCCTTTTCTAGCTAATACCTCTAGCTTTTATATTTTATTGCCAAACTGATAACCATTTCCTATAAATTTATTTTTTAATTCATCCTAACTTCTCTAAATTTGATATCTGTGCAGATGAAAAGTAGAAAGGACAAAGGTTAACCAGTTTTTAACCAGCTTTATTTATTCCGAGCGTTTGAAAGAAATTGCATTATTTCTCTGAAATGAATCAGGCTGCATTAATTTTATGTGCCACACATCGCTTGCGTATGGCTTCCACTTTAAATTTAATTAAATTTTAGCTGCCTGAACTAATTAAAAAAACAAATTTCGTTTTAACAACCGCTTCGAATGGCTCTTGCCCATAAAGTGTACACAGACTTCGGTGGAATCGACAAATTGAATCGGCTTTCACGAATGGGAGGGGGTTTTTAATTTCAGCTCTATGCCACTTGGCCACGTATTTTGTTTTATAGAGCAGCTACCATTATGAGGTTTATGTGTCTAAGCCCATCAAAGCTTAAGCAGGCGCTTTATAGGCAACTTGTATATTATTTTGCAGCCATTGTTCGTCTGGATTTCATTCGCAAAGACAATGCCGAGTGTTGACAGCCAGCAGGATAGAGTAGCTGGGTGCTGAATAATCTTTAGACCAGTCTAGTTAATTTGCCTTAACAAGAAAACCGCACGCCGATCGTAAAGTTGGCCAAGAAAATCAAACGGATTTTGCCGCGCCAAAAACGCGCGCGACTCGCGTTCGCGTTCGCTAATTGAGTGCGACAGGGCGGTGGTGTTGGACCGTCGGCCCTTTTCGCCATGTCCTTGTGCAGAAAAAAGCTAAAAAAAAAGCGGGGGGAAAAAAATAAATAAAATTTATTACGCCACGAAACACATGAAGGACAATGCCGCTGCCTCCCCCTCCTCCACCTTTTCCACCACCGCCTCCTTATTTATTGCTTCCACGAATCGAGCGCGTTGTTTCCGAGAAATGTGCTCGCAACTCAGGCGATCCCGTCCAAAGGTGGTGGCTATCTGTCTGGGCCCGCTGTGGCCGCAGCTTAACAAGTCGACACTTTTCTTCACACCTCCGGATAGTTGGCCAAGAATTTACTTGGCCATATTAAGCTTAATGGCCGCCCGTTGCGATCGCTGCCCAACTGACCGGTGGCACTTTGCTGGCTCGTTTCAGCCGCAATGCGGTTATTAAATGCAAAAATTAAGATAAGTCTCTTGAAAGGGCGTTTTTGCCAAGGGTTCTTAATCCGGTTTTACACAAAAAAAAAAAAAAAAAACAAAACAAGGAATGTTTCTGTTTTCCAACAGAAATCAACTACTTAAATTTTTAGTTACTTACACCTTTGGTCCCT